AGTCTAGAATTAGGGGTTGGAAGGTGGTTCTAAGCCCAAGAACGGACTTAGAAGCCAAAATGACTGATTCACTGGAATATAACCTTTTAGAGCTTATTTGTACTAAAATGGGTTTTCGGATGTTAATGCCTTGTTAAGAACTTGTATAAGGTGTTCCTAGCGCTTTCACGAAGTTTAAAGAGTCGAAAGAGTTATCGCCGGAGTTCAACAAAGTTCGCCCGAGTTTCGCTGGAGTTCAACCGAGAAGAGTGAAACTTCTTAAAGCTCATTTGAGGTTAGTGGACAACTTAATGTCTTATAACTCTTGGGTTAAGTAAGAGATTACCTAAAAAATGTTATATGTATTCATAATGATTTTTAAAAGAGTTTAAGCATGTGATTAGACAAGATGATTAGGCTTATGTGAATAAAAGAACATGAATATGCATTTGAAGAGTATAAAATGTATATAAAAACACGTGTGATGTTTTGAATGGCCAAAATGGCATATTTTGATTGTTTATGACTTAATTCATATTGTGTATAAGTTTCGGAGCAATCGAACTAGGTTCGGGCGGTCAACGAAGCGCTGACCGCCTGCAGACGGTGGACCGACGCCGGTTTAATTGGCTACTGTCAGCCGAGTTCCAGGTATAAACCACAGGACCGGCGCCGATATGGCCAGTGAACCGGTGTCGGTTAAGCTACGTGTTTTGATGCCCGTTTTTGCCGAAAACGTGTATCGGGGCTCGGTTGGAGGTGGGATTAACCCCAACCATCCTATATATGTATATTTTGCATGGAATTGCATGAAATATGACGTTTAAATGTTTAGGCTTGATATATGATGATTAAATGCTAAGGCTTGGATTATTCATTAGTAAAGATATGATATAGACCCTATCTGGTATGATAGTGGTAGATCATAGGAAATGGTGGAGTACCCAAAGACTACATTGTCCTCAAAACTCGATATATAGTTGGTGGAGTACCCAGGGACTGGACTGTCCTCAAAACTTGGTATATAATTGGTGGAGTACTCAGGGACTGGACTGTCCTCAAAACTTGGTATAGATAAATGGTGGAGGACCTAGAGACTTGTCTGTCCCAAAAACTCGGAATATAATTGGTGGAGTACCCAAAGAATGGACTTTCCTCAAAACTCATAGATTACAATTTAGTAATGGGAAAAGTACAGAAAAGATACTTGTGGTTGAGCCGTTTTCAGATAGGGTCACATGTTTCATTTTTTATCAAAGTGGTCTATGTGTTTGAATTCCGTTATCACAAGAAGGTCACACCAATAAAGACGCTTAAGAAAGACAATTAATAGTTACTCCGATTTTCAAAAGTGTCCGAAAAAACCAAACCGATACGAAAACTTTGGTACGTACCAAATACCGAGCCAAATTTTTGGTTCGGTAATTGGTACATATAATTTTTAAAATTCAGTATTCGGTTCGGTATATATATAAATATTTTGGTTTTCAGTATGTACCGCATACCGAAATACACAAAATAATAAATATTAAAATATAATATATTTATATATTTTGGCCCAAAATATATAAATGTTTATATATTTATATATATTTCGGCATGTATTATATATTTATACCATATAAGATACGTAGTATTTATTATATATAGTATATTTATTTATAAACAATTAAGTAAATATTATTGAAGGTCTATTTGGTATTTCGGGTTTACCGATTACCGAACCATTTTTTTAGGTTTTTACCGAAGCAAACTGATTTAGTTTGGTTCGGTATTCGGTATGTGAATATGCATAACCGAAATTTCGGTAAACCGAAATTTCGGTTCGGTTCGATATTACCGAATGAATACCCATGAATTGGATTGATGACTTTTTTGGCATGGATCACTGCAGTGGCACCCCCGACGGTGCAGGGCCGAGCACACAATATTAGTTTAATAATATTTCTTTTTTGTGTAATAATATTAATATTAGTGTAATAATATTCGTTTAATAATATGAATATTGGTGCAATAATAATATTAGTGTAATAATATCCTTCTGTGATGTAATAATATTAGTTTAATAATATGAATGCTACTGTAATAATACTCATATTAGTGTAATGATATCCCTCTGTCATGTAATAATATTAGTTTAATAATATTTCTTGTTTGAAGCAAAAATATTAGTTTAATAATAAATATTAGTGTAATAATATTTGTGCAATAATATTAATCTCAATTACCACATCCAACTCATCTACTCTATTTATTTCAACCACCTAACACTACTCTATTAATCACAACTACCGCATCCACCTCACCTATCTATTGTACTACAAATAGGGGACTCCACCACACTCATTTTCACCATTCTCAAACAAACTTCTTTCTTCTCTACTATATATTGGCATTAAAGAAATATTTTGGTTATTGGGAGAGCGTACAACGATCTCGCAAAACTTCTACAAGGTATGGCCTTTAGTAATCCGGGCACCATTGTCGACCTACGAACAAATGAAACTAATACACAAGGTACATATGAATTTAAATACGCATTTTGGTCAATCAAAGCAGCGATTGATGGTTTCAATCACTGTCTTCCGGTCATTTTCATAGATGGTACACACGTATACAGTAAGTACAAAGGTACTTTGCTGGTCGCAGGCAATGAATGCCAACCGTGAAATCCATCCTCTAGCTTTTGGAGTGGTTGATAATGAAAATTAGGAGAGTTGAATGTGATTTTTACAGTTAGTTGCGACCAATATTATTGGTCCATATTGGAATGTTTGCATAATATCTGACCGACATGTCACTATTGATTGTGCTTAATGTGCCACAATTGGGAACACCTCTAATTCAGAGGTGATATTGTCTTCAATACATTCGAAGTAATTTTATGTCCCAATTTCGAAGCAAGCAACTAAAAAAATTGTGTTTGCGTGCGGGACGTACCCTCATTCTAAATGAATTCAATAATTACATGCAACAAATTCAGGATACTAATGAAAGAGCATTCAACTATCTTGATGTCATTCCCAAAGACAAGTGGGCACTTTGTTTTGATGGTGGATTTTGTTATGGAATTTTAACGAAAAATCTATTTGAAACTTTTAACCATGTCCTAAAAGGATGTAGAACGCTTCTAATTACAGCACTTGTGAGAGAAACTTTTAATAAATTTGTTCAACTCTTTGCAGAACGATGTAGTGCTGGTATGATGTGAAATTAAAATAAATATCAATTTCCGGAAAAAATTCGAAAGCAAATTATGGTCCGATGGCGAGAAAGGCGTCACACTGTTGTAATCCCGCACAATCATTATAGTGGAGTTTACTCAGTAGCTATAGAAAATGCAACTCCGGTTACGGTAGACTTGTTAAGGTGTGACCATGATTGCGGGTGTTGGAGGATGAACTGGATGCCATGCATCCACGCGCATGTTGTGTGTCACTTCCTCAACTGTCCTGTTGATGAACTTATTACGGAGGGGAGGTATATAAACTGAGCTCTTACATTAATGCACATGAGGATGATATTTTGCCTTTATCAAATATGAATGAGTGACCGGATATTGGGTTCTCGCTGAAATATTTATCATGAATTTCTCAAGTGGGGCGTCACCAAGAAACAAGGTTTCAAAATGAGATGGACATGCGTCCAAGCAGAAGAAGATGACAACAATGATTTCATGTATTTTTTATATTTTAATGCTTTTTGTAATTTATTATGAAATAATTGTACTTTATTAGATTATAATAACAAATTGTTTCTTACCATTTGAATAGATATTTCAATTCAGAATACATAATTTTTCATTCGCAAGAGTGTTTTTAAACGTTGCATGAGATAAATAATGTATTCTATTGATCTTTTAAATAAAAATGCCAGAACAGATTCGCCGAATCTGTTTCTACTTTTTTTTTTAAAATGAAAATGGTCGAACAGATTCGTTAAATGTGTTTCCTTGTTTTATTTTTTAAAATTAAAATAGGAGAACATATTCACCAAATCCATTCCAATTTTGCAGACCAGAATCTACAGTTTTTGGAATGGTCTACAGAATATCTACCCTATTTTGTCAAATACCCCGAGAACCTGATGGACTAGGCTAACTGGCTAAACATGGAGTTGATAAGTAACCTGTCATAGTTAGGGAAAATGTATATGAAGTATGAACCCATCATTATATATAAAGGGGCAACTCAATGCACATACACATCATTATAAAAGTACTTTATGTCTCAAAATAATACTCCCTCTCCCTCTGTTCTTAAATATGAGTCCTCTTAGGCTTTGGCACGGATTTTAAGAGTAAAATAATAGGGGTAGTGTAAAAGGTGTAGTGAGTTGTGGGTAAATGAAAAAGTAGGAAAGAGAAAAGGGTAATGGTAATAAAAGTGGGGTATAAAGGTATTTTGATTGAAAAAACTTACTAAAAGGGAAAGAGGGACAAATAATTAAAAACGTCCCAAAAAGGAATGCGAGACAATTAATAAAGAACAGAGGGAGTATTTATTCTTTACTTTTTTTTCGCTCGTCCCAACATAAACTCTTATTTTCTTTATTGATGAAGAATTTGTGATTCATAGTGTTTCTCTCCACTTCTCTGCCCTCTGCATAAATTTAGCCTTTAGGTTATGAAATTTTCATTTTCTTAATATGTGTACAAAATTAAGACAAACATTTCTTATGGGAGGGACATAGTAACATTGTGAAAAAGTCAAAAATCTTGTTAATTAACCATTTTTTGTGCTTCAAAAGTAGTAATACTACATATTTGGAATGAGCAAATAGTCTATACTCCCTCCGTCCCACAAAGAATTTCCTAGTTTGACCTACACACATATTTATGTAAGGTAGAGTTTTATTTTGACTTTCCAAGTATACCCATACTTTATGTCAAATCAAACAAAAAGTGGATAAAAAATAAGGGTAGTTGTGACTTTTTGGTTAAAAGTGGTTTCCTTTTATATAAATGAGAACTTATTTTTGGAACAACCATAAAAGGAAAGTGAGAATTTCTTTGCAAGACGGAGGAAGTATTATTTAACAAAAAATGTTTGGTGTACACTTTTTTGTACACACATTTGACACCCCTCTTTTGTCTAGACAAACAAAGTTGTGTGTATACACACAACTTCTGTATTTCAATATAGATTATATGTATATAAACAATGCTGTCTGTCTAGACTCTAGACAGATAAGAAGTGCCAAAAATGTATACACACCAACTATTTTTTTTTAAATTGCCAATCATTTCTCCTTTTCCTTTGCGTGGCCTCTTTTCTCCTAGGGGGCATCATGTGGTCCCACTGCCATCTCTGATTGCGCAAGTTTGGCTACCATTCGTCCACTTTTTGGTGTGATTTTACTTTTTGAGTTTGATCACCTAACTTTGTAGGCTCCAACCCGACTTCAGTTCTGCCGAATCATTCTTCCCTGCAGTTCTTCAATTCATTCCTTAAAAACTTTAAATTCAGTAAGAAACTATTTATTGCATACAATATATATACCCGACCGATATAACGCTTCTGCACTATTGGTGATCGCGGAGCTAAAGGACAACCAATAATGGAGCGGCGTAGCCCAGTGGCGCCCCACCTTGAGCCGTGGCGGACCCTTAGCGAGAAGGTGGTGATGGTCACTGGAGCGTCGTCGGGGTTGGGCCGTGAGATCTGCCTCGACTTGGCCAAATCCGGCTGCAGAATCCTCGCCGCTGCTCGCCGGATCGACCGGCTTGAATCCCTCTGCGTTGAGATAAACGGGAATGGTTCCGGGGATCCGAGCTTCGATCCTTCGCCCCGGGCGGTGGCTGTCCAGCTTGACGTGAGCGCAAATGGGCCCGCCATCGAGGCCGCCGTGCAGAAGGCTTGGGATGCGTTTGGCCGTATCGATGCCCTGGTTAACAACGCCGGCGTCAGAGGTGATTTCGTAATTTCATGGATCGTCTTTCTGAAATTGAAATTGTATCCACATGCCAGCAGGACATAGATCAGGCGTTAGAACTTGGAACATATAGTCCAAAAATTTGATCACCACATTAAAATAAGAAATAATTACATAAATATGATCAAAATAAAGATGATTTACAAAATATGACTAATGACTAGAGAAATAATGAAATCATAGTAATTCATGTTCAAGTTTTGAGCTTAAGTTACCACAACACCACATTGTAGTAATGAATAGTCATATTTATGTAAATATGTTTTATTTTAGTAATATTCTTATAAAAAACCCTTAAAATAATAATAACTCCGGTTCAAAATTTCTTTTATGCTATTTGGTTAAAAAATCTAATTTTATGTATTTTTGTAAAATGTGATCCTTATACAGTAAAATAAAATTTAAATGTAAGAAAATCTTTATTCACGATATTTAATACGGAGTAAATTGTTTTAGTCGTCCACATCATTGCTACCTCACATTCACCCAATAAATTTTAAATAATCTCAATACTCCAAACTCTTCGTCAACAATGTTATTCAAATAATTAGTTTTTCTGAGAAATTTATTAAATGTATTTTAACTATAATCTAAAATAATCCGGATTTAAATCTTGAGATCGGTCCTCTCAAAAAAAATCTTGAGATCGGATTATCTTTTTCAATAATCTCCGTAAACAATGATATTCTTTAAAATAATACTACTATCTCTCACACAATGATATTCTTTAAAATAATTTGACACATCATCTAATTATTCTTCAAATAAACCAATGAGTAATGAATCAGGATGCCCTAATCAATGCATAATTATAAGTAAAAGTTGATCTCTGTTTTTTTTATATAAGGACTATTTATTGTAATTAGCGAGGTTCTCAATTTTAACTAAGCCTTTTGGGACTAAAGCTTTAAATTCTGGGACAGTCTTGTCGACCAACATTTTTTATGAACTAAAATTTAAAAATTGTACATAGAATGTACACAAATGATGATATATCTCGTAAAATCTAAGAGCCAAATGACGCAATTGTCTTCGATTACAGGAAGAGTACACAGTCCATTGGATTTAACGGAAGAAGAGTGGGATAGCATCATGAGACCAAACTTAGTGGGTACATGGCTCGTGTCAAAATATGTTTGCTTGCAAATGTGCAATGCAAAGCAAGGAGGATCTGTCATTAATATTTCTTCAATTGCTGGTCTTGATCGTGGGCAGTTACCTGGAGGTCTTGCCTATGCTTGTTCAAAGGTTGCTGTCAATTCATTGACAAAGGTAGATCTTTTTTACCTTCAACATCCTCACTTGGTCTTAACTCTTAAATAGCTGCATTTTTACGCCTCATCTTTTGTCCTAGAACTTCATTAGCTGCAACCTATCTTGTTTTACGGCTGGATCACTGCTTTTTAGATCACAATTTTTAGCAGATAGTCATCTGCAAATCTTGTTTGCTTCCTTCCTCAGACCCCCTTTTGTAAGATACAGGTTATTTCCAAGATTGTTTGGAATAATTGACTGAAACTGTTTGCAGCTTGGCTTTATAGAAATTTTACTCATAAAGTGAAAGTTGATTTATAAATTCAATATTGTAACGTTCTATAGAAAAGCGTGTTTTGTGTTTATGCCTTCTGGTGGGCAATTTTGCATCGAAAATTCATCTTTTAAAAAGTACTCGTTGCCTGCAAAAGTTGATCACTTTTTCTTCAATATCCTGAATTGGGTCCCTATTTTTTAATAGCTACGGAGTATAATTTTAGGGCACCGTGCCCTGCATGGTACTTTACTTTTCGTGGCTCTATTAGCTGCAATATAGTCTAGCTAATATAATGGATCTGCTAATATAATGGTCATACGAAAACCTCGTTTCTTACTTGCTCTGCCCCTAAAACAAGTCATGTTTAAGTAAGATATCACTTTTTTTCATTCGTAGTATGCTCAATCAAGGTACGAGCTTTTACAAATTATGAATTGTTACTGATACCCGTAGTCCCCTAAACTTATTTCGAAATTCCAAGTCTTTTTGGCTTATCCAAAAAGGTTTGTTGAAAAGTGCGTTTTACTGTTGTGTCTATGCCTTCTATTGGACCAAATTTTTAGTGGAATTTCATCTTTTTTATAAGAGAAAATTACCTCATGTTTGCCAAAATATGATTGATATCTTTGTTCCCCTAATATGATGACATATGGCATGTATGCATATAACTCGGCGTTTTCTATTTCTTATGTCACTCCCTACATGCATAGTCATATTTTGGGAATTGTCATTTATATGATCCTATATAGACATGTTTCCCTTTTTGAACTACATTTTGCCCTCACAAAATGATCATTTTTCTTCTTCAATATCTTGATCTCCTTCCCACATGCTATGTCCGTGATGCAGTGTTTTCACCCTTTCCTTTGGCCGGTAATTGTTAATGTTTTCTTGTGGTACTCTAAAAACTAAAATGATAACAGGTAATGGCCATTGAATTGGGAGCCCATGGAATAAGAGTAAACTCAATATCCCCTGGACTATTCAAATCTGAGATAACGGAGAACCTCATGCAACGAGATTGGCTTAACAATGTTGCTCTGAAGACTGTACCTTTGAGAACATTTGGCACATCAGACCCAGCATTAACATCTGTGATACGATACCTAATCCATGACTCATCTGAATATGTATCAGGTAACTGTTACATCGTTGATGCTGGAGCTACATTGCCCGGGGTCCCGATTTTCTCCTCTCTTTGATCCTTTTTCTTCTCCATTATTATTGAGGTCACGATTCACGCGTGTAATTGTTAAATTTAAACATGTGTTGTGCATAAAACATCATTAATGAATGGGACGCGACCGCCAGTCTCGAAACCGATCATGAATAGCAATATGTTTTTCATTTTTAATCAGGTTTTTATATATACAATATCCAACTAACCTTCTTTTGTGTTCTTAATGATATGGTGATATCAATATTACATGACACTGATGTTTGGAGCCAAATTCTTAAAATTTGGCAGGGGTGTGGGAAGGGAAAAAGCTTAGTCTGATAAATTTTTATCCAAAAAATAAGACTTTAAAATAGAAGAGAAGGTTCCCTCCTAATAATGCATTAATGCCCCTAATGCGTTATAGGGCTTCTTGTAAGATAAAATTCTTCAGTTTTGACGGATTCATTTACTTTCATACTCTTATCTGTGTTTACCATTCCCTAACTAATGTGTGTTTCTACTGTGGCTGATCCCCCACTCATTCTTCTCTTCTCTTCGTTTTCTTCTTAACTTAAATGACATATTTGGGTTAATTCCAGCTTTACGTTTGTTGATCGCTATGATGGGGGAAGAGTATCGGTGCTGAACTGGTCTGTGTTCACCCTTTCACAAAGAAGAAAACTGACTAAACTCAACAAAATTATAATTGTGTAGGCTTATCTAATATTCTGATCTAGGGAAAAAGTCAAATAAGGTCTTCTACTATTACAGAATTGTCGTCATGTACTCAATAAAGTGTTATATAAATGCGTATACTTGTAAAAAGCAATTGAACAAGTCATAATGACCTTTTTACAACCTCGCAATCCCAGTTTTAGCGTACCTTGGACTATCTTTTTAAAATAGATTATATGGCTGGCGTGGAATATTTAGCTATGATTGACTTAAATACAAGATAAAAATAACCACATGTAAGCTAAAATCGGGATTAAGAGATTGTCAACGGGTCATTAGGACTCATCTGATTGATTTTTATAAGTAGATGTATTTATATGATACTTTATGTGATGTTTTCATAGTAGAAGACCTTATTTGACAATTTTCTCTTCTAATCTAACTAGACCCTCTGGATTCTAGTGGTGCATACTATAATGGTACTTACTTTACACTTGGTTGGAGTGTAAAAGTTCAACCAGCTCACAAAAGAAGAATCCTCATCAAAGTTCTTTTTATTATATCCTGGCCACAACACTGTTTCCTTTATGAACATACCCACAAGTAGCTTCCTTGATCAACATCAGCTTGTTCATCTTCCCAAGATCCTTTTACAAGTTCGCTTGGGACATTGCAGATCATCATTGTTACTTTGTTAGGCATGAACAACGCCTGGTTCCGATCCCAGACCGGCTGCTCCTAAATATTAGTGGGGTTCAAGACCGAATCAGTTTTTTTAAATGTAATTCCAAATACAAAATTAAAGTATTTATTATATATTACAAGTGTAAAGATGTATACACCTCAAAAAGCTAGGGCAAAAAGGCGGTCGTTTCCCTCTCGTAGGGTTTGGAAGTCTTCGTGTGTTCCTTTTTTCCTTGCGCCTCTCTTCGGTAAAGCATGACAGCAAGGTCAGGCAGCTTATTCTTAGGGTCGGGACATGCCTAGTTTGAAGTCAACAACAGGTTCTACTCTTTAGGATGAAAAGCCAAGCGAAACGAGAGGGATGTAAGACATTGTGAACAAGTATGACAACTGATTTTGCATTGATTTTTGTGTGTTTATATTTTTACTTTTGATTAGTTTTTACGGTGTGTTGTGGTAATTGCACATTAACGGTGCAATCACTTTATTTTTCTAGTTTCTTGTAATTTAGTAAATTTAGAATCATCTTGAGCAAGAATCAATCAAGAATCAACAAAGGATCGTGGAAGGGATCCTACAAAATCAAAAGAAGGTGCAAGGGAGCAAGAAATCATGCTAAAAATGTGATTTGGTGACTTATCCAGTCATGTATTATCTTTACCCGGTCGGGTATGAAGAGAAAACGGAATCTGCGTAGAAATTGGGCACATACCCGGTCGGGTATGGTACTTTACCCGGTTGGGTATGAAGTGACCCGGACAAAAAGACGTGCTGAAAACACAAAATCGTGGGCAAATATTTGATTTTGACCGATACCCGGTCGGGTATGTACCTATACCCGGTCGGGTATCCGGCCAAAGGTGTTGAAAACACCTATAAATAGCACATTTTTTCTTCACTTTTAATCATCCCTTCTTCCATATACTTAAGCTCAGTTTAGAATAGCATTTCTTTATATTTTCCTAGCATGTTTAGTCTCCAAATGAGGAGCTAAACTTTCATTTCTTGGTTTTACTCTTGAAGCTTGTTGATTATTAAAGTTGTGAGTTATTTTCTTAACTTCTCTCCTTGAATATTAGTTCTTCCCTTAATCTATTTCTATATTAATGTTGGGGAGTGTTGCTAAGATGACAATTAGTCAACATCTCAATATTAATTATTACTAGAAACGATCAACGAACCGATAGTTAAGAGATTTCCGGTGTTCAGAGATCTCATGGCTTCACTGTGGTGTCCCGGAAAAGGGATCTCACTCAATGAGATCGGCGAAAAAAGATACTTATTCACTTTTTATCATATTGTTGATATGGAACGTGTTTTAGGAAGTGGTTCATGGTGGTTTGAGCAGAATTTGGTGATACTTAGGGCAATCAAGCCGAGAGACACCCCCTTCGGGTTCCTCTCAACGAGGCAGAATTTTAGGTTCAGGTGCACAATGTACCTTATGGTTTTATGAATATGTGGATGGTTAGAAGAATTGGTAATTTTACCGTCAAATTTATCAGTTTTGATGAAAGTCAGTTTGAAGAAATTTAGGAATACTATATGAGAATTAGGGTCTACATGGAGGCGGGGAAACCATTGAAGGTAGGCATGACTCTTAGGAAAGGGCAGGGAGAAGACCACTGAGTGGACTTTAAATACGAAAAACTCCCTAGTTTTTGCTTTGCTTGTGGTGTCATTGGTCATGCTGACAGGTTCCACTGCAACAGTTGATACGAGCATGCTCGTGCACATCAATATTACTTGTTTCACCATTATTGATAAATGAATGAGAGCAATTACTTCTTTCAATCGTTATCATTTACAACCTAAAATGCCATTAGGATTTTAATTGTTTGTTGAATAATTTATGAGAGATGTAAGTTGTTTCTAGGATACCTGCTAAGAGATTAGCATGGTTAGGGAACTTTATGCTCACTCGTTTGACAATGATTTAGGGACATGTCGCATGAGAGATCAACATTGCTCTCTAAGTTGTTGTATTCTACGCCGTAAGAGCGGTAAGAACTTAATATGTATAGTGTTGCTCAATAAAATAATTTTCACGTGATTGACCCTGATAAAACCATGAAATATGTGTGCCCCATAACCAATCCATGTTACCTTCTTGTCATTCAATTGTTAAAACAAATCAATCTACTCTATTTCCTTTGCAATTCATTTCCAAAATCAATCTCACACAATCACTTTTATTTGATTAAAGTCGAAATGCTCAAACAAATTAATACTTAATTCTATTTTCTCGTTCATGTTGAAACAATACTCATACTTAGTCCTATAAAATATCTCATTTATTTTAAATTCCGGAAAAAAACACATCAGCTTTTGGGGCCGTAGTTGAGGTCGCTGTCGAATTTAAGTGATATTTTCTTCTGAGTGAGACACTTAATTTCCCTATAATACAAGTACTTTTTTTTTTAGTTTTTCGTTGAAATTTTATTGGGAAATTGTCCTAAATAGGACTAAAAACACGTCTATTCCAAAATATGATTATTATGTTTATATTCTCCAAATAGAAGTAATTATTGTCATCTTTTGACACTAATTACTCCTATTTAAGGAATAAAAACATGACAATCATATTTTAGAATTTTCAAACGTTTTTACTCTTATTTTGTGAATTTTCCCAATTTTGTTTACTAACCTTTTAAATTAGAATCGTTTATGCATATGCGCTCTAAGAGGGAAGAGTTGTTGATCCCTCTTAATTCTAAAATCGAGAAGTTTGAGAAGTTCGTTGTCCACCTACTTTAGCAGAAGCTGGAACTTCACACACCCCTAACGTGGAAACTTATGAGCCTAGAAGGTCTTGGTACAGGTTTACTAACACACAAGTTGGATCACCTCTTATAAGTAAAATTATTAATATTCGAGTCTAAAAAATTAAAACGTGTGTAATTTAATAATACTTTTCAAAAAGTTAGATAATAATACATCAATAATAAAATGTACTCCGTAAAAAAAATAGAACACACCAATATTGTAAATTTGAAACTAAAAAGAACGGGTATTACACCTTAATAGGACTAAAATTAGCCCGAAATTCAACAATAAGACTACAACCCGAAAATAGGACTAATATATGTTCCTTCTTCTCATTCTACCACCTTCCTATAATTTGTAATAAGTTTATTATATAAATAAGAAAATCATAGTTTTATTTATAATAAAATATAAAAAAATAATAAAATATTTATAAATTAATAATAAAATCGTGAAAAACAATAAAATAAAAATCAAAAAATAAAAAAGTGTAAAAAATAAAATAAAATAGCTAAAAAATATGTAGGCCACCGCCACCGTGTCCTCCGCCTGCCAGCACCACCAGCTCCAGTCGTCGGGGAAAAATGCCATCTTGTGTAAAAAAAGCTATTCTTCGAAAATATGAAGCTTTCTTTTCAAAATTGTCATCACGATGACATTTTTTCCTCAACTTGGCAATATTTTCCGGTGACCGGAAGTGGCGGTGCTGGAAGGTGGATGAGGTGGTAGTTGAGGTCTGTATATTTTTTATTTATTTTTTACGATTTTTTTAATGTTTTATAATGATTATTTAAAAAATCTTATTAGGAAGGTCAAGAGAAAATGTAGAATAGGAAGAGTTAGCTCTCTTTTGGAAATTTAAACTTTAAATTTCTATTGTTGCAATTATCATTTTATTTAGTTCTGTTGAAAATTTCTCAAAATGGAATGGTAGTATTATGTACGTATTAAATTATTCTTAATTTTTAAAATAATAAATATATTGATTGGATTCGCTGAGGAGCTGGAGTATAAAATCCCTAAGGTGCGGCCGTCTCTAGGATTTTCCTAGGAGTTTTTCCGGCTGTGGTTCCAGTCACCTGGCTCGGCTTGTCTCTGCAGCGTTCCCATCGACTGAAGTGCA